CCACTGCTCACCCACTATACAAAATAACCATCTCCACTCCTTCACCGCACCACCCACAATAGGTACCTCCACCACTACCACCCACAATCGGCACCTCCACCACTGCTCACCTACCATTCCAAACAACCATCTCCACCCCTACACCGCACCACCCACAATTGGCACCTCAACCACTACTACCCTCTCGCTCACATCCCCGCGAGCTCTTTCTCTCTCCGTTCAGATAACACACTAGTCAGAATCTAGGGTTAGGTGGTTGCGCTGGAGAGTAATGTTTGGTAGGGGTATTTTTGGAAAAGTAAAAGGGTAATATGGGTATTATATTAATTGAATGGTGTTTTTGCACAAATTGAAAAGAATAGGGGTGTTTTTTGCACACTTTTTTAAATAAAGGAGTAAAAGTGCTAAGAAATGTATACTTCAGGATTATTTCTTGCACTTACTCCATATAGATATAGATTACTTATATAATACTCAAAATGATCATATTTATTATGTCAACTACACATTACTTTCAATAACCATGGATATTTATCATTGCTATTTATAATTTGTTTACAAAAATTATCAATGTCAAGAAAATACTTATTAACCATTTAGTGTCCATTAAAAGAAATAAGGCAATTAACAATATAAAATATTTGCGTTCTTATTCAAAAGTGGCAAATAAAAGAACAAAGAAACCGAGATGTAAAAAATAAACAAATAAACTATAGCTGTTACCTAATCTCATCATTTGTTTGTGGTTTTGTTCTCAACCTGTTGCACATATAAAAGAGAAAAATATGTCAAGATCATGCAACATTTAAAAATTGTGATATAGACTTGGATATATTAGTAGAGATATTTATATTCAGATGTATCACTTTATAAATACTAAATGAAAATTATATGTATACCTAATAAGGCTTTTTAATAAATAAAAACTGCGGTCACTTTATCTCATACAAGTACAGACAGAAATTCAAAATCAAACAGTAAAAGCAGTAGTGGATGATATTCTTAATTCTTAGAACAATATAAAAAATAATAATAAAAAAAAAACATGCAGATTACACACACACACACATATATATATCTATAAACAACATACATTACCAAAGTGGAGATTTGGAATTCTCAGAAGGGAGAGTAAGAAATGCAAAAGAAGAAAAGTCTTGGAGCCGTGAATTGAGATACCACATATAAAGCGAATGTATGAATTCACTATTCAAATCTATATACGAGTATTTATTTTAACCCATGACTTTGATATGCTATAATTGTGGATTATTGTATTTTTATTTGCTTAAAATATAATAATTACACATTTAAAGAGATAGATAAATTTGTATATTGAATTACCGCATATGAAAGGAATATATGAATTCATAATTCAAATCTATATGTATATTTTAATCCATGCCCATTGGCATGCAATAACAGTTTTGTCTTTGATTTTTTTTTTTTTTTTCAGTTGTGTCTTTGTTTGCTTAGTTATAATAATTACACATTTAAGGAGAGAGAGAGAAATATTTGTATTTAAAAATATATTAAATTATAATAATGACACATTTAGGATATTTTATATAAATTAATAAGTGGGGGTATTTAGGTAATTTAAACCATCTGGATGCCGTAAATTGACTTTCGGTGACCGGGAGGGGGGCAATTTGTAACTTTTTAATAGTTTAGGGTTCGATTTGTAACCGACAATAGTCCTAGAGGATTTATTTCCTTTTCTTATTTTTTATTTTTATTTTTAATTCAAATCCTTAAAAAATTTAGTTCCAAACAAAAATATAAGGACATGCAAGTTGGAAAACTCAAAAGACACTTAATATTTGGATCAAAAGACTAAAAACATTCATTATGTTAAGAATACTAAAATTTGACCTACCAATCAACGAGAATTATGATAAATCTTATGATATCTCTTTTATCTTTCTAAAAAAAATTTATTTTATTTTTATTTTTTCACACCCTGAGAGAATTGTGAGGATTTGAATTACAAATGAGTGAGTAAGTTTTCTGCCAATAAAATAAATAAATCAGAATTATAACTCAAACACAAGAACTGGGTAATAAATAATAATAAAATTTTGATCACATATTATATAGAGCTTGTCATCTTAGTACAAGGTGAACTATGTGTGTGTGTGTGTTTTTTTTTTTAGGATGATATTATTAAGAAAACCCTTTATCTAGCACCAACAAAATTGTAACTTATTATTAGAATTCTCATAAAATGTATGTATTTGAGGACTACCTCCTTTTGTGTGTGTGTGCCCAACCATTATATTATGGGCAAAAAAGTGGATTATAAAAGTCATAAAAAAAAAAACAGAAAAAACAAAGAAGAGTAAATGATTAAAAACATTTGCAAAGTCTATGCACATGTAGGCATGAAATCCTCTTTAACTTTCCTCACTTCTTAGTCTATGCAAAGTTTTCTGGCTTTGTGGGACCCATTCCTTTTATTTTATTATCATTTCAAAACACCCTTAGTCACGGGGTGTGTTTGACTTAAATTGCAACTGTCCCCATTAACATATTAATCACCCTCACCCAAACTTTAATAGTCTATGAAGTGTGGAATGGTGTAGAATGGATACATCTAGGGTGACAATTCGTGTTGTTAATCGTAATTGTGTCTTTTTGATGTAAAGAAATTTGTTCGCATATTTTTTGATAAATATGTAATACTCGTGTTAAGAACCCTCAACACTAACAAGATATGTTTATTAAATGAATAAACATGTTAACCCATTTAATGATTTGTTTATCAAAATGGGATATTTAATATTTAATTAAATAATAAATAATAGAAATTTTTTGTCACAATTAACCTAAATATTCAAAATATGAATGAAAAATCATAAGGTGTATGCAAGATTTATGTTGAAATGACTTAACTATCCACAGTAATTAGGTTTAAACATATAACATATTACATATGTCATATTCACGATTATAACATGTTGAGTTAAACGGGTCATAAACGGATTACACAGGTTGAACTCCTCAACCCTAACCCGACACAGTTAAGTAAACAGGTTAATCGTGTCAACCATTTATGACTCGAACCCGTTTAAGTTAAACTCAAACCCGCTTATTTTGTGTCGTTTTCGAGTCATGTTATCGATCATGTCATAATTGTCACCCCTAAATACATCTCACTAAATTTAAATTTATATAAGTAGAAAGGATAATATTAGGATGACATCTATCATATTTAATTCTCATGAAATCGTCATTAGACTTTCAAACTATTTCTCATTGCTCGGATAATATGTTGATAATCGTAATAATAAATTACATTTATGGAATATGGGTTGATTTTTTTATTTTTAAAATAAATCACTTGAATTTATTTTTTATTGTCCCAACTAATTTATGAGACTCGTAAAATTTATTTATTATTTTATTTCCTATCCAGAATATCCTATTTTGGTCGGTAAATCGTACTCCATATGCTGTGAAATTCCAAGACACTAGCACATAGATTACACAAAATACAAGGAAAGAGGATCAAATAGTTACATTTAATAATCATTCCTTTTAGGACTAAGAAAAGTGATTAACTTTTGATTAGTGGGATTTTCTATGCATAATCCCGGGTCGGACCTGGTATAGAGGCTTAGGTGGCGTACCGGTTCGTCCAACCCGGGTCGCCGCTATACGATGTTGGGGTCAATACTGTAAAAGTACATGTCTCCGCGTGTTCTCCTTTAATGATAGTGAAATTTGCGACAAATCTCAGACTCTCTCTCTCCTCGTTGTGACTTTGCACTTGTGTCCCTATACTCTACCTCAATTTCTGCCATGCCACTGGTTTAGTTTAATTATTATTTTTTCATATAAATTTGAATATTATTCAGTTATACCCTATCATGAAAAATACTACAATATGATGTAAAAATTAAGAGAATAGCACCATTTGTTTTGATGTAATTTTCATCTTAAGTTTTTAGCATTGTTAGGCAATTGATTGATAATAATAATAATAATAATAACAATAATAATAATAGGACTAAATGATTTGTTTTTTATAAGTTATTTTTAAATTTACTTGAACCTCACGTACCAAATTAATTAGGATTAACTCTTCGCGGTTAAGTTCCATTAAAGTCAATTTCAGTTGAGTTACATGCTATCACCTATTAGTTAACTATTTCAAATTAAATTAGTGTTAGATCTTTTTTTTTTCGTTAGCATTATTCTCAATAAAAATCAAGTCACTTTTCTAACCATTACTACACATATAACCACTTGTGTACACATTTAATTATGTATTATATGTATGTGAATACACACACACACACACACACATATGTATTGAGAATGTCAGGGATAGCATTCCATGTTGCGTGGTGATTGTCAACCGTTCCTATTATTTGATGAATGGCAGTAGGTACTGTTTGATAATTGAAAAATAATTATTAAAAGTCTTAAGAACAAAACTTGAAGTGCTAATCAATTATAAAAATTTAAGTGTTGAGTGACAAGTAAAATTTCTATTATTTTAAAATTATATCATTTTAAATGTGCTATCCACATTTACAAAGGTACTTAATTGAATAAGTACCTAATCTATTCATAATTAAATACTAGATTGAGTTATAAAATAACATTTAAAGATTCCGTTTGATAAATTAAACAAAAAAATTTAAGACTTTTATGTTCTAATTATAAATAATAATAGAACATTATACTTTGAATTTCAAATGTTTATTCTTCAATGACAATGAATAAATATAAGTAATCAATGTTCAAATAAGTATTGAGTTGAATTATGAAACACCACCTTGTCACATATAGTATGAAAATGTAGGTTATTGATAAATGAAAAATAAAATAAAAAGAACACAATTGAGAGAGATGGATCAAAGACCAACATAAATAAAATAAACAAAAGATTGGGGGTGTGTTTACACATAATGGTGAAGATGAGGGGAAGATGTGCAATTAAAATTAGGCTTCTTTAATTTCACACGGTTTTGCTCACTCAACATTTTTGGCTCTCTACATGTGGCTCAGTCTTTACTGCTGCACTTTCCCACCTCATTCCTCTCTCTCTCTCTCTCTCTCTCTAGCTCGCTCTCTCTCTACCCAATGATCACCATGATCAAAACTTCGCGATTCGTGCTGATTCTGGAAATATTCATGATTCAATTGTTCGTCTGAGAATCGGTTAGTTTCATTTTCTCGCAGTTTTTTTTTGTTTTTTTTTTCTTCATTATTTGTCAGTGTTCTTGCGGATGAATCTAGTTTTAGGGTTAGGGTTTGATTTTATTTTCTTATAATTTAGCACCGACTTATGTTTATTTTTTGAAGTCATCTGTACTGTTGGCTTTTTCTGATGCAGTGAAGTCATGCAGGGCTTTGAATTTGGATCATTTCTTTTTTGTTAGTGTGATCATGAAATTTTCGTTTGCAATTAGGGTTAAAAATACTGTCTTTTTCATGTCAAATTATCTTCTTTGAACTTGTGTTTGTGTTAGTTTTATGATAGGTGAAATTCTCCTTTTTTTTTTTAATCATCAGCTAATTGGTTGGTAAAGGAGGAAATGAATTGGAAAGTTTAGTGTTAATAGACTAAAAATTTAAAATCCTAATACGAACCCATTGGGATTTAGTTTGAAGCATAGAATAGGAAAACTAAAATAAGAAATGCAGGAGAAAAAATAATTTTGGGTGCGGATTTTTGGGAAAACAAAGGGAAAATGAAAATCTAATTTTTTTTTGTTCTTTTTCTAAATTCAATGGAAAAAGGAGTTCAGAAATCGACCAAACAGATCCTGATCCATTTAGTTGCATCCGGCTAAGTTGCATGCAGGTTAACATGCTTGGTTATCTATTGCTAAGTGAAATGGTTGATTAGGCTTAATTAAGTGGAGATTTTACTTTCCCGGGGGATTTAAGATAATGAATACCAAAGGTTTAAACTATAATTTTTTTTCCTTGCATTGGCATAACAATCCAACAGAGCATAATTTTTTTATTTATAGTTTTTCACTTGCAAATAGGTTCGTCACTATTGTTTTAGTTTTTCTAATATATATTACATGAAGAAGAAGTTCTCTATGTTTTGTCACTTGCTGACTTAACTGTTTAATTGTTGGTGCCTTTTTATTTTTATGCAGGCTCGAAATAATTGCTTTTAGATTTGGCTTAAATATCACTCCTTGTATTATTTTTTCTTGGGGTTAGAGATGGTGGCAGAATCTTGGTTCCGTAGTCTGTGGAAAACGTCACGGAAGCATGAGGGTAGTCCACAAAGGGTGCTGATTGGAGTTGTGGCATTTGAAGTTGCAAGCGTGATGTCTAAGCTGGTTCATCTATGGCACTCTCTTAGTGATAAGCAGGTTCTTAAATTGAGGGAGGAGATCATGAGTTCACTGGGTATAAGGAAGCTCGTCTCAGATGATGACGATTATATTGTAGGACTGATATGTGCAGAGCTGATTGATAGTTTAGGACATGTTGCAAGAGCTGTGGCAAGGCTTGCTAAGAAGTGCAGTGATCCTTCTTTGAAGAGTTTTGAACCTATGTTTGAAGATTTTCTCAAGATTGGTGCTGATCCATATGGGTGGCAGTTTACATGGAGGAAGATGGACAAGAAAGTTAAGAGGATGGAACAGTTCATTTCGGTTAATGCAAATTTGTATCAGGAAATGGAATCACTAAGTGAGCTTGAACAGTCTCTGAGAAGAATGAAGGTTAATGATGACCTAGACAGTGTGAGTTTGGTGGAATATGAGAAGAAGGTTGCATGGAAGCAGCAGGAGGTGAAGCATCTAAAGGAGATCGCTGTGTGGAACAGGACTTATGATTACATAGTTCACCTTTTTGCGAGATCCTTGTTTACCATATTTAGTAGGATTTGTCATGTATTTGGAATTAATCATGCGGTCGACGTGGAAATCAAAGACTCGAGAGTTCTGGATTCTGATTTTATTAATCGCAGCCACTCAGTTTCTGCATTGATGCAATCTTCAGTTCACCCATCTGAGAATGGCATTGCTAGGTTTTCTTCAGGTCCCTTGGGGAATTTGAGTACTAAATCTGGCCCGCTTTTAAAAACAAGTAATGGAAACCATTTCCATTCAGGTCCTATTGGAAACTCAATTACAGCATCGGGCCCAATTTCTGGAAGGGATAAAACTATGAACTTCTGTTCAGGTCCTCTGGGGAGATCAACAACAAAATCTGGTCCACTGCCTAGAGTGGTGAAGATGGGCCTGAGGTTGTGGCAGACTCGTGATAACTCAGCTATCCTTCAAAGAAAAATTCTACATTCAAAGCCCAATCGATTGCCTCCGGTTGGACCTCTTAAAGGATGTCTGATGGGCGGAAACAGTTCTCCTGTAAGAAGTTGCCGTGTAAATCGAAATGAGTTTCACTCCGGAATCCTGGATCGAGCCAAAGATGCTGATCTAGGGCTTCATGCTCGTGGCAACCCACTCAATAGCAATATATCAATCTTCAGCTCCAAACACAGGTTGCTAAATGCTCCTCCAGAAACTCTTGGTGCTGCTGCTTTAGCACTGCACTATGCAAATGTTATTATTGTAATCGAGAAGTTAGTGGCATCTCCTCATCTGATTGGTCATGATGCAAGAGATGACCTGTACAATATGTTGCCAGCAAGTATAAGAGCTGCCCTCAGGGCAAGGCTAAAACCATACACCAAGAGGTTGGCTTCATCAATGTATGATACAGTTCTTGCTGGAGAGTGGAGTGAGGCAATGTCAGGAATATTAGAATGGTTAGCTCCGCTTGCTCATAACATGATAAGATGGCAGTCCGAGCGGAGTTTTGAGCACCAAAACCTAGTTTCTAGGACAAATGTGCTTCTTGTACAGACCCTCTACTTTGCAAATCAGGAGAAAACCGAAGCTACCATTACTGAGCTTCTTGTTGGTCTGAACTATGTTTGGAGGTTTGGCAGAGAACTCGATGCCAAAGCTTTACAGGAGTGTGGCAGTGGTGGAATATTCGGTGATTCTTTAAGCTTGGATGGGTAACAATGCTTTCAACTAGTGGCAATGGCAAAATGATTCCCGGTTAACTTCATGATGGACTGGTTTCAGGAGTTTTGTTGGGGCAAAGGTTCCAACACCTGGCTAGTCCGTGGGGCTTCACAATGCAATTTGATGAACACTGATCAATTGCACACTGTCAGGAGGCTCCGAGGACCTTTATATACTCTTTGAATTCCTCAATACCAAAGGGTAGTCCTCTTGCTGTGAAGGTATATTAATAATCCAAATATTCTTTTTCTTGGTGAGAATAGATGATCTTCTCCCTTTCGCTGAAATACAGCTTATGGCTTTTGAGTTTTTGTTTTTTTCTTGTCAAGTTGATTCCACATTTTATAGTTAAGTTGTCGGTCCCTGGTAGCTGTATAGTTCTTGCCAATGCTCAATTATCGTATTGTAAATGTACCTTATAAATGGCCTTTTCAGCTTTATATATAGATGTTTGAAGTTGGGTGTTTCTCATTCGAAGTGGTCTTCCTATGGCTCATGTCGGTATGGATTCTGTTGCATAATGACCAAAGTACTCGGTGAATCTGGCTGTTTGAGTCGATTAGTTATGTACTCCTTCCATTACCCTTTTGGAAACTGTGATTCACATATTTTGGGGACCAAAGTACTCGGTGAATCTGGCTGCTTGAGTCGATTAGTTATGTAGTCCTTCCATTACCCTTTTGGAAACTGTGATTCACATATTTTGGGACGGAGGGAGTATAATTATGCATTGGCATGTATCTAGATGCATATATACCTCATTCTCATCTGAAATCTGGCTGCTCGGTGACATAGCTCAAAGTGTGGCCTCGTACTAATTTTTTTTCTTTCTATTTAGATGGAAATTAATAAGTTTGAAGAATGTGAATATTTTGGTTGATTTGAAATGGATTGGTTTGGTTAGATGAGGATTATTCAAGGCATGCATCTTATTATTCTCTATTTTTTTTTTTTTTTTTCTTTCTTTTTTTCAAAAAGGTGGTGTGGTGTGGTGTGTGTAACTTGGTGCAAGAATAATGATTCTTCCATCCTTGAATAATTTCTAAAAATAAAATTTGTGTTTTTCAAGTCGTCGTGTAATGGGGATGAGATGTTTCTTAGATTTCTAATTAATTTGATTATTTGCGTGCATGATAGACGTGAGGAATTTCTATATGGACTATTATTTTTATTTTATTTATTATTATTTTTTTTTAATCTTATGAACGGTTGTTAATGGAAGTAAGGTTCAATCCTTAAATTTTTTTAGTTCGGGTTGAACTTGAGCTTGCAATTCGGGTTAATATTTTGGGTTATTAGACTGACTTTGTCATATAGAAAAATGATATTTGAGTAGATAAATTAGACCTAAAACACAAACTCTATAAAACTTGTTAATTATTTTCTCATTCTTTTATGTGCTTGGAATGCATATAATCTACCTACCACTAGGCATAATTTAATGTAAAGATTAGGGTTTTGTTTGGATTGAGTGATTTAGAGGGATTTGGAAAGAAAATAAAAGAAGGAATAGTTAAAATCGTGTTTGGATAACTTTTAATGAAGAAAAAATAAAGGATTAGAAGAGAGTTGGAGGGACTATCCCTCCAAATTTCGGTATCCTATCCTTAAAAAAAAATGAGAGAAGATTTGGAAGTAAAAGATAATGAATAAATAGTATTTTTATAATTTTAAAACGACCCAGTCTACCATTTTATAACATTTGGCTTTAATTTTATAACAATTTATAAAAGAGTCATGATAGTAATCTAATTCTTATCATATTTTTTTTCTTCCTCTCATTTATGTTTTCCAACCAAGAATCTTATCATTTTCTTTCTTTTATTTATTTATTTATTTATTTTTTCATAATTTATCCAAATATGAATAAAGATTATTGTTATCATTTGTTTTCTTTTCTCTTATAACTAATGTTATCATTTATATATATATATATATATATATATATATATATATATATATTTTCCCTCTTGTTTATCCAAAAAGAGAGCTTAAAAGATGACTTTTTCACCATTGAAATAATTGATGATATATATATATATATATATATATATATATATATATTATTTTTAAATTAGAAAAATTAAAAAAAAAATTAGATTCAGGTACCCCAATTCAAGCCTACCCTAATTAAGTTCGGTTGTTAATTTTCAATTCAAATTCAACCCTAATTGTAAAAATGGTTGTCTAAGCCTAAAGAAAATATCGGGCTGAGGTGTTGGACCCCTTGTATTTTTTTTTTACATATTTTTCTCTTTTTTTATAAATTTAGGTACTTATCCAAAATAATAATAAAAAAAGGCTTAAGCTCGGTTGGTCTGTGAGTTGATACCTTAAATCAATGTAGGTTTGCTGGATTTTGTTTACTATTTATTATTTTTACTTTTTTCTTGAATGTGTAATAAATATATGAGTGTGTGTCTATATATATATATATATATATATATAGAGAGAGAGAGAGAGAGAGAGAGAGAGAGAGAGTAATATTATAAGAGAAATAAGAACAAAGCTTTAGTGACAAAGAGAACGAAAAGAGAGAGGAGCATGCTATTTCCTTTTTATTTCTATGCCACACCATCTGTACACAAATAAGCCTATTTATAAGCAAAGTTGTCATGGGCACCAAGTGCAAAAAGAAGCTTATACCATAAGTCTCAAAACTTTTCAACCTATATAATTGCATGTGGACCTCACATATAAAGACGTATATATCTAACACTCTCCCTTGGGGTCCACTGCACCTATATTAAGAATATGCTTCGTTAAAATCTTGCTAAGGAAACCCAGTGGGACAAAACCCTAGCGAAGGAAAAAGAGTACAGTATTCTTATGTATCTGAAAATGGTATTGCATAGATTAAAAACTGTCTCATTAAAACTTTGCCAGGAAAACCCAGTGGAACAAAACCTGGACGAAGGAAAAGAGTACAGTATGCTAATACCTCTTCGATCAATTCCTCCCCCTCATTAGTTCAAACCTGAAGATCCTTTAGTTGACGCATTCCAATGTTGTGCATCGGCTTCTTGAATGTTGTAGTTGGAAGCGTTTTAGTGAATAGATCTACTAGATTTTCGTATGAACGTATCTTCTGAATATCAATATCATCTCTTTTCTGGAGTTCATGTGCATAAAAGAATTTTGGTGAGATGTGCTTGGTCTTGTCACTTTTAATATACTCTTCTTTCATCTGTGCAATGCATGCCGCATTATCTTCATATAATATAGTTGGGCTATCTTTTATTGATGAAAGACCACATGCTGTTCGAATATATTGGATCATTGACCTCAACCAAATGCATTCCTTGCTTGCCTCATGAATTGCGAGTATCTCAGAATGATTTGAAGAAGTTACAATCATTATCTGTTTCATAGATCGTCATGATATAGCAGTAGTGATACCCCTCGGATTCGAGACACATGTTGATTAGACCCAGGCCCAAACCCGAGGGATATCAAACAATTAAAGTATTTTAAATCGAACACGGAATACAAAGTGAAATACGAAATAATATAATAAGCTGAAAGAAACTAAAAGAAAATCCTTGCATCATAATTAATCAAATCCAATAATCCAAAACTCCATAAGTTTACAACTCGGGAATCTATCCATTGGACCCCTTATTAAAATTCTCAAACCAAAACTGAAATAATAGAAATAAAATTCAAAGCTAACATCGAGAAGATTCCTACATAATCGGAGGAATGAATATCTGTATCTGCTCTGTACGTCCAAGCTCTAACCCTGAAACTGACGAACACCTGAAAAATAAAGGAGTGGGTCAGACCCACATGCAAGTCATGATCTACTACAATTCAAACAGTAATCTGATACCCAGATACATCCTAGGAAGACTCAACAATATTTAGAGTAGTCCATATATGTATATAGTACACACTATAGGACGCTCGCTAGTCCAGTAGGTCTGTCTCAGCCTGAATAGAAGGCAACATGCAAATACGCACCCTAAGGTGGGCATGAGTACCTAGACCTACCAGGGAACAACACCTATGTCCAGTTATCCATCCTAGGCTATATACGCACCCTAACCATGGTCATGAGACTCAAGCTCATACCACGGCACCATATAATATATATATAAAGTCCGTACTCCTCCTAATACAAAATACCATCCATCTGTGTAGTGGTCTGATATATGTATAACAAATCCATCCTGAAACCATAGTAGGTCATTCAATTCTCAATTGATATGACACAAGTAGGTGATGGACTTAACCTATATGATTAATCCATACCTTAATTCAAGTTAGGTAAAACTTAGTGTTTTAACTAGTCTATACCTAGTATGTCACCGTCCCATATCGGTACATACAATCCAATCCATCCAACATAATTATTAAGATAATTACTGTTATTTATCAACCATTATCCATAATATGCATAAATACAATTTAATACATGTCACATGACTTTAGGAAAATCATTACAGAACCTAAACATCACATACCATTCATTAAAATTGCTAATATGAGTCATATCATTCAAGTCCTCCATAAAATCCATAAATTGATAGAATTTACAAAATATACTTATCAATTTAGGTCGGCCGCGAGAGAGCTTTCTGAGTCTTCGATTCTTCTTCATCTGCGAAAGGTCGGTAAGGATACTGAAGATAGAGTGGGCCGGATCTGACTCGAGAGGAGAGCATCGGGTTGGGCAGCAGGTTCTAGCCCAAGCTTGGAGAGTAATACCATGGGCCCAACACCTGAGATCCATCGGATTGGGTCAAGCCCAAAAGGAAGAAGGCCCGAAGCCTGAGAGCCCAACATAAGAAATTAGTCATAACACTTGTAATTGCCTATAAATAGGCATAGAAGAGAAAGAGAAAGAGGAGATAGAAAAAAATGTAATGAAACTTTAGAGAAATTCTGAGGGATATTTTCTTGCATTTACAATTGGCGTCGTCTGTGGGAACGTTGAATATTGATTCTTGTTTGATCAACATCATGTTGATTCAGATTGATTCGTGAAGACGAAGCTTGATTTTTGGAAGTTGGATCCAGATCTGAGAGATTGCGGTTCGCTCTTGAGAAGTTCTTGATTCCTGATTGATTTTGAGAAATTGGCATCAGATTTACGCAGTGGTGATTCATTCTATCGTGGTTCGATCTGACAAGTTCAAAGCCAGGAAAGCTCAGATCTAGCAATTGGTGAACGTAATTCATAAAGTTTGAGTCCAGATCTGACGTGATTCGCGTTAGTGAAACTCAGATCTGATTTAGAATTTGTAATTCATGCCTTTGCTCCATTTTGGAATGATGACTGGGGGTGAGAACTCCAATCCGGTAGAGAATGTACAGCAGATGAAACTTGATGAGTTGATGAGCATGATCGAAGCTCTCAGGAGAGAGAATGCAGAGCTAAGGACTGAAATGCAGTGTCAATAAGCTCCGGTGATTCTGCGTCCACTCCTGGCAGGAGAAGAAGTTCTACGTCCCGGTGCTGCACATCA